TGAGGTCTCTTGGAGTCCTTAGTCGTCAACACCTGTCGTCAAGAATCAAGCGATCAAAGGAGCTCCAAATATCTGGTATATAGATCACCCCACTTTAGCGCACGTCAACTTGTCCCGCTTGTTTCATTGACTCGGTGAATCTGTTCACCAACGTGCATGACTCACCAATAGACGATTACCTTGGCAGCTTGTTGTGAGAACATTCAAAGCCCTGTCTTCTCCTGCTTTTCCCATTAAACCGCTAAAACAGGAGCTCGTGTTGATGAAACCACGAAGAACTTCCCTTGATGAGTGCCCGGATTTGGAGACAGAATGTCCCTTCATTTGGCAAGAGAGTGGTCAACTTTACTTTTCAGTGGCTCTGCCACACAACGCCACCAATCTGATTCTCTGGGCTTCTATGCCACTGATCGAGATACAGGGAGGTAGAACCACCCCGGGTGGGCCCTCGGTCTGAGATCCCATGCCTCACAGCACAAGAGTAGGAACCAAGTTGTATTTGGTCGTGTTGGGTACATCAAAAGAGAATCAGCATTCGTTTGCTGGCTCACTGGTAGCACCAATAACTGAGGCTCGAGCGAATAGGGTGCCAGGAATCCCAGATTCCGCCTCAGCGCTCTCTTCGCACCAAAGGATAGCAGGGAGCGGTCTTTCGACCACTCTCATGCAGCTGTCGGTTGCAGAGCTTTTGGAAGCCATGGCACCCACCAGAAACTTTGTGAAAACAGGCTCACCAGACGAACGATGAAATGGTCATTTGCCAGCTGCAAGTCTTCGAGGGCACAAGAGGTTTGAAACACACTGTTGATAGACATATGGTGAATACGATGCGTCTGTGAGACCTCTCTCCCCGATCTATCCCGCGTCATACGTCGCACGTCGTGTCCCCGGCTGCATGAGCTCGCGGGCCATGCCGTAACGACCTGCATGGCACCGCCACGAACGGCCACGAGCTGCATGACTCGTCCGATCTTGGAGTGACAACGAAGGTGCTTCAAAAGCAATAGACAAACTCACGGCCCAATCCTCTTCTTGGGGATCATGAAACTCGATGACAAACGTAGCTCAACATGGCGATTGGCTCAGCTGGTCAATGATTGATGGAAGGTCCTCCCCAGCCTCCTGCAAAGGTATGTTCACCATCCAAGAACTTTGCCAGCTCCTTCCACATAGACCTGTGTTCCAGCAGCAAAATCAATGACCTCGTAAATTAAACTGTACCATGGAAGTGTTGGTCATTCTCCCGTCGTAGATATATAAACATTGTGATCGTGCGATATTGTGGAATATGCTATCTGCTTCAGGATGACTGTCATAGAGTCATACTATATAGGTGAGTGTGTGTGTGCAGAGGAACAACTCGTCGCCACCTATTGTATAATTGGCATGTCACACAAGTCTACTTGCTTTCCAAGCTCTCACACAAGCACCGGCCGGCGCTATTTTCATGCCACTTTGGAGAACCCACAGCGCGAACACCAAAAAGAAACTTATATATAAATGTGTTCAGCCAGAAATCTGGCCATGAGCAAGAGTGCCAGGTCAACCTCCAAATCTCTGATTTTGCGGCAACCCACCTGACGCGTCGCACTCAGTGCAGGGCTCATCATATGGATCATCAGGAGAGTCAATGTCAACCCAACCTGGAAGCGCCCACCGCAGCTCCACCCTCCATCCGGAGGCTTTAACGGAACCTCTCAATTAACGCAAAGCCTCCACATAAAAACCAATATCAACCAATCAGCATTGCCAAAATGCAGCTTTCTTGGAAAAGAAAAGAATGGAAAAGGAGAGACGTTTCTTTTTTCGAACAAAGAACCTTCCAAAAGGCAGCCTCACACCCGGCAGAACAAGGCACTTGCCTTTGAACCAGGATGGAGGCTTGTGGAAGTAGATCGTGGTCTGAAATGGCGAGGAGGGGCGAGTAGATCGGCCGACAAGTCGCAAACAGCCCTGGAAAGCACCTGAAGTATCATACTACCCATGTTCCTGATCCTTCAACTCAGCTGTTTCTTTAAGGGCTGTGCTACGAAGAGATCTTTAAGGGCTGTGCTACGAAGAGACTCCGAATCTTGGAGCTAGAAACACCATTGCTGGCCACTAAGGTAGAACCTGAAACAACAGGCGACTTTTGATGAAAACAAAAGAACCTCAAAAGCCTCCTGCTCCTCCTCTCTTCCTTTCCATCTCTGCCAACACTGGACCATTCCTCGCACATTCCTCGCCTCTTCGCCCATCTTCGGATTTTGGACCTCCGGCGACGGCCGAGGAGAGAGGCCGGCGACGTTCCGACCACAAACGTGGTGTTCATTGCAAAGTGTCGTGCGGCAATCATTCTTTTGCCGATAACAATATGACCAAAGCAAAGTCGGACAGATTGCTTGTGGCCCATCTTGCTATCCATCCAGCGCCCAAATTGAGTTGGGCTTGAAATCTTCTGCTTCAAAAAGAATCTCGCATGCCATGCTCAGCGCATGGAACATCGTTCCATCCCTCTCGCAAGTAGCTGCAATCCTACATTCGGCAACAGGCTGAGCTTGAAAGGACCAAACCTGTGAGAATCACCACCAAAACCATCCAAAAACCAAAGCCTTTTGGATCTTGGCATCTTGGAACCCGAAATTCATAGACGATCAAACCCCTCCATCGCCCCGCAAGGCCTACAAGGCCCGCCAGGCCCACCAGACTCCAATGGTTTAAAGGCAAGTGGCTTCGAAGAGGTCCGGATGCTGGGTGTAGAGGTCTTCAAAGCTCTTCACGATGATATCTGGCACTGACCTTCCAAACGGCCCCCCTTCTTCCCCATCAACACAGCAGAGTCTGCGAACCCCAAAGGCAGCCCCTGCTAAAATAAAGCGGTTTCTATGTTTGCCCGCTCCTACTTCCTTCTATAAGTAAGGGAGTAGCTGGCTCCTAGCTACTTAAGCTTCTAGGTCGGATGTCGGATAGCTCGCTCTAGTGATTAGGATAGCTCGCTCTAATGAGTTTGAGGGAAACTGAACTCGGGAGTTGAGAGCGACCGAGAGTTGAGAACTCGGGACCCCGAGCCTTTCCTTTAAACGACCTTTGATGTAGTTGGCCATCGGTTTGATGCGGTCCTCACAGCCGAGAAGGACTGCACAATGCGTCGACCAGAAAGCTGGGTCAATGATTCAATGTATATATCAAAGTTGTTTATCTTGCACATGCAGCACTTGTCAATCTTGCCCCACAACCCTCTAGGACCCAGGCTAGCAGTGGTCAAGTCCAAGTGAGAAAACAAAGAACTATATAAGGCTAAGTTATGCGACATACAACGCGACAAAAATGGATTCTTCCCATGTTTTCATGTTGAGATTAAATGAGATTCATACGTTTTTCTGAGGCATCACCAAATCACCAAATAGGCTTTCCATGTGCAGCATGTCCTGGTAGAGAGACTCCAAGGTGGAGATCAGCATTTGCCGCAGACCCTCTGGACCAAGACTCCTGTCACGCAGCTCCGAGATCCATCCCCAGGTGCCGTCGATGGGTGAATCAGCCAATTGAGGAGTGACTGGGCTTTTGAAGGCCCCTGAAAGACAGTGCTTCGCACTCCAGTTCGTGGCATCACTCCGCAAGCCACAAGCAGCTCCCTGCCATAGCTCTAATCACCCTTGTGCCTAGCAGTGAAAAACAAACGTAAATGCTTCAAATACTCAACTCAGCCCATGGTTTGGATATCAGCTAGTTTGGTGTGTTATCTGATGTTTGGACTTCGAGGGCCCATCTTTGGTTTGCTCATCAGCATTTTGGACGGCCCTTTTCACACCAGTTAACCTTCCCCGTTGTCCTCATCACAATCTCCACATCAACCCCACCTCGCCACCGGGGTCCGATTGGCCCAATTGGCCCTCTTAAGCTTGCCAGAACCACTCGAGAGCAGCTTGACCCATGTCCACTTGTCCTTTGCTGCCATCCACCTGGCGAGAGTCCAAGCGGCGCAACTGCTGACAGCCCACCTGAAGTTCCCGGGCAGTCCAGCCCCCACTTCGATGGCTTCGGTTCAAAGGCGACCGCATTTCTAGAGCTTTCGAATTCGACACCGAGACCTGCCGTGAGAAGCAGCACCGCACCGGCCTGCCGTCCCGGAGGAACCGCACGGCCCTTACGCCTGGCGCACGGCCCTTGCGAGGTGGGACACGTCGGCTGAAGATGGAAGATGGAAGAGACACAGATGGTTCAAGCGGTACTCTTTCTTGAGATTAGACAACTGATAGGACATACAGTAAGAGAAATAGAGACTTACTAACTTACTACTGCACCTGTTTCAACATTTCACCTTCATCGTAGAGCAGAGTTCGGCCACAAAAACCTGTGTTTCATCCACAGGCAGGGGTGGCCCATCATCCATTTGCCGTCTAGTCGATCCAGCCTGCCTGAGATGATTTGGACTTGGTGCTGACTTGGGAAGGTCGACAAATCTCGTTTGGCCGACCCTTCGACGGTCGACGCCCACCAACCCCTCGGCTCGAGTCGTGTTTCGGGACACCCGACCTACAGCCATCCTCTAAGGCAGCCAGCAGTCAAAGCTCTTTCACAACTCCCAATGAACGGTTTCTTGGGAGCTGTCAAGCTAGAAGAGCTATGAAGAGCTATGAAGAACTCCTTTCTTGAGCGCTCATGGGAAGCACAGTCTGGGTCAGGTGACCTCCTTACTCATCGTCCACCTGCATTCATGCATCGCTTTCAGGTGGTGAGAAGACCTGTACCACCCACTCGCCCCAGTTAGTCGGAAAGGCTGAGGGCCAAGCCCTTTGCCACCACGTTTGCCTGAAAGACAGAGTGATTGCCTATAGTACTTCTTACCTCGAAGGGTGCTTCAAGAATGAAAAGAATAATGAAAAAAGAAGCCGCTCTCCCGCCTGCATCGTGCCCATACCCACCCTGGCATTGGGCGACTCGACCGCCCCTCTGATAACGTGCCCATGCCCATTCCTTCCACCCTCCAGGACCCTCTTCATCACGTCTGGCCCCATCTTTTCGTTTGGATATGTGAGCGAAAGCATTGGTCATCCCCTGTCTTTACAGTGGTCAGGAGGATTCGGCTGCGCCTCATTTGCATGGGACTGGGACTAGTCTACTTTATATAGGGTTCCATGAATCAGGTTGAGTTGGCGCAGCCATAAACATGCAACAAAAATCTTGGCAGCGCCTGTTCTCTTGACAGTGGCCACCCACAGCTAGGCTCCAAAAAAAGCTCCTTAGACTCAGACGTTACATGCCTTAAAGTGCAGTGAACTGCTCATCCCTATGAGAGCGAGCTGCTTGGATCTCCACCCGCCACTACTGTGCACTTGCATTTCTATTGCATGCAATCGGTGGCTGATCACTTCATGAATGCCAACAAAGCAACCAAAGCCACAAGGGCATGAAAGGTGGTGCCAGCTGAGTAGCTTGAATCTTTGTGATCTTCCCCCAAGTCTGACTCAACCTCACGGGCTGCGCAGGCTTTGGTGGGCCAGTCCACCACATTCTGCAAGTATGCATTGGTAACATATTGCAGCATTGGGGTTGGCACAGTGATGACCTCAGGGGCGTGCTCAAACACAACCCAAAGCGTGTATCTGGCTGGATTAGAGGAAGATCCAGGAGTGGCACTGATCGGACCAGTCACCAGGCCATGCCACGGGTAGCGGACGGCACCCATGCAATCACGAGTTGGCTCACCATCAGTGACATTGATAGACCAAAGCGGACCATGAACATATCCTGGAGGCAAAGGAAGAGTGAGCTGCACATAGTCATTGTCTCGGTTGTTCCAAAAGAACTTCTTGTCCGCTGGGATTTCCTCAGGCGCGTGCACAGTCTCAGTGTACACTGTGCGAGGCAGCTGAACAATCATGCCCGTATTGGGTGCGGCAGAGTACATGACCATGTGCAACTCCCCAAAGGTGCCATTCCGCGGGGTTCCTGCATGGTTGTGGTAGCCTCCATCGGTGTCATCAGTTTGCTTTTGAGTCCACCACTGGTTGTAATTCAGGCGATCTCCATGATGATCTTGAAGCAAAATGCCAGCAAGATTCCAAAACTCCAAGGAATCTGGGAATGCCTCCGGGAAGTAGTTGGCAAACTTCGTCCATTTAAAGTGTTCCGAGAAGGGTCCGCTGATGGTGGTGGTGGGAGCCGCATCCATAGCCGTGATTGGCACATTGAAAAGCTCCACAGGAACCACCATGAGTGCAAAGACTGCGCCTTCTGATCCTGCTTTGATAGACTTCAAGCGATGGTCCAACTGCAAGCTTCGCTCCGTGTTTGGCGGTGTGACCACAAAAGTCTCCCAGTGCCCCTCGGCATTCTGCACACCAATCTGGTTCACATCAAGCACCGTTCCACGGATCAACTTCAAGAAGGCTTGTTCTGAGTCGCTGACATTCAGACTGAAAGACTCTTCAGGTGCCAACTGGACATATTTCCAAGACCAGCCTGAGACCACCCATTCTTCTGACACGGCCACAGCGCAACTGCTCGGATCTGGCAAGCGCACAATGACATTGTTTTCCCGATGCCAATCTGGTACTCCATTGGGAAAGCAAGCAGGGAAACGTTCTTTCGAGGTTGCTCCGCTACACCATTCGTGGAGAAAGCCCTCCTGTTGCAGCGAAATGTTCATGTCACAAGTTGCATTTCGGAGGGCAGCATCCTCAGTGGCGAACTGTGGCAACGCCGCAGCACCTAAGGACACCAAAGCAAACCTCAGAATGGCCATGGGGTTATGCCGACTATGTGCCTGCAGCCGCAGTTTCACGAATTGTCTTTTCCCGTGTTTCTCTTGAGCCTGAGCTGCCGATTGATGCAACTTCTACACCAGCTGAGTCTCAATCAAAGGAAATCAAAGTTGTTAAACTCTGCACATGCGCGGCAAGCGCAAGCACCACATATATGCCAAATGTGCTCAACATTGTCAAAATGTTCTTGTTGTGCAACACGGAAACAATTTTCACAACAGGCGACCAAACAGTGCACTACTACATGCCTGCCCGTAGGAGTCGCCAGGCATGCCCTTTCCTCCCATACCTCGGCCAACAAAACGACGGGTTTGAGACAGACTTCAGGAAGTCCAAACATGCTTCGTCATCCTACACATGTTTCATCCGCACAAGCTCTTCATTATCTCTGACATGCTGCATCACGCCTGTCCTTGTAATCATTGTTTTCGGAAACAAGAACAACAAGTTGAATCCTCTCCTAGTGGGTCCTAGTGACAACCGAGATGAGGCCCACACCCACGGGCGATTCTCTGAAGAAGTATTTGTGCTCAAACGCGAGTCGTTTGCCATCAACTCCAAAGTAGTAGTAGTAGTAGTAGTAGTAGTAGTAGTAGTAGTAGAAGTAGTAGTAGTAGTAGCAGTAGTAGTAGTAGTAGTCGTCGTCGTCGTCGTAGTCGTAGTAGTAGTAGTAGTCGTCGTCGTCGTCGTAGTAGTAGTAGTAGCAGGAGTAGTAGTAGTAGTAGTAGTCGTGGTGGTAGTAGTAGGAGTAGTAGTAGTAGGAGTAGCAGTAGTAGCAGGAGTAGCAGTAGTAGCAGTAGTAGCAGCAGCAGCAGTAGTAGTAGAGAAGGAGGAGGAGTAGCAGCAGCAGCAGCAGCAGTAGTAGTAGTAGTAGTAAGAAGTAAGTAGTAGTCAGTAATCAGTAATCAGTTATTAGTATTAGTAGCAGTGGGAAGTCCCTTTCATTCAACCAAGATCCCATCTCCAATCAAACACATGTTGACTAGTAGTTGATTGGAGGGCCCTTTGTTTTTCTCCGCACCGATCGCCACAGAGCGCCCCACGGAGTGAGGTCAAATCATCCATCCCCAGAGGCTGCCTGACAGGCCCGAGAAATTTCCGTTTCAGGTGGAAAGTGTGAGAAACCAGGTGGAAAGAAGGTTTGGGTGATCCTTGCTTCATCTTTTTGGAACTGTCCTTAAATTAGCCTTAAATCTACTTCGACATTCATGGATGTCATGCTGTCTTCCCTCGGCTAGCCTGAAAGGCAAAATTGGAATTGCCGGCTCTGGAAGTCCCCCTCAATTGTGAACCTTCCCTGAAAAAAATGGTCAGTGAACCCGCCGATCAAACCTGCCACCTCAAGGAGAAGTGCAGGGACATCCGTCTGTGATATATGTTGTGCGTCTCATGTATATTTATGTCATATATACAGCAAACCATTCTGGAGTAGCGTTCGTCCCCCACTGTCATGCCTGAACCTAGGGGATGGAGATGCAGCAAATGAATTTACTCGTGCCAGGAGGATCCCCGATCTTTTTCCAAGACATCTACCCCTCAGTAATGGCAACATGGCAACCTGAAAAGCACAAAAGACACTGACCTCATTTGACTGTCATTTGATGATTGGATTCTAACCATAGATTCCAGGTGGTGCACCACGTCGGTAAGTGCGTTCTGGCAGAAGGCCTTACTTCTTCAAAATTTCAACCGAGGTATTGGTATATAGGTTCAGACACTTGGCAGACAATAGTAGGTGAGTGCCAAGAATAGTAGGTCGAGGAGAATGTTGTTTCATTCCTCTTGAAATCGGGTGTAGACAAGTCGTTCAACCACCCGGGCCCTGGCAGGACGGAACCGGGACTCCGGACGCATACGGTGGAGGCACGCCAGCCTGGCGAGGGATCAAAGGAACCCACCCAACCCCGCCTGCTAAATGGAAACATGCTCAAAGTCCAGACGCCCAGGGTTCAAGACATACCCAAAAGGCATGAGTTGCAGACAGAATTCTGTCATCTGGGATCAATATGATGATAGTCGGAAAACAAGTCTTCGGAGTCTTCGGTCCCAAAGTACCTGCCTCTTCCGCCCTTCCAAAAGCTCGGAGCAGACAAGTAACTCTGACATCCTCCATGTCTAAACCTGAAAAGCTGTGGGTTGCTGTGCCGCCTGCTGCGCCATGCTGCTCCCTCCATGGTTCCGACCGAAGAACACATCCGAGTCAACAAGTCGCCTGGTAGCGGCTGGCATCCGGGGAGGCTCCGTAAGCCCAGCCAGCCTCCGGTTGAGCTCGGTCGAGCAACATGGAACTGTGGACACCCGCGGAGGATGTTGTGGCGAAAGGGTCACTCGATGTTGTGGGGGGATTGTCTTTCTACTTTGCATCAAGAATCACGCCATTATTGCAGCAACAGTTGGGGTACTTGGTGGGTTGAAACTTTCAATCTACATCACCCAGTCGGAATGGAAAACCAGGTAAAACTATCTTGCTGTCTTCTAGCTGTTTTCGGAAAGCTTGAGGAGCTTCGCCAAAGGAATCGATGCCCATCACTCAAAGGCATCGTCTCCAATACCCCAAAACCACTCTTGGCGCAACAAAAAAGGTGCCGCAGTCTGAACGGGCATGGCCTGGTATTGCGCGGCAATGGGATCCAAGCCCTGGAGCCGAGGGTGAGACTTCAGGAAGCCGGTGTTCTTACTTTAATGATATAAGTAGGCGCCTGCGTAATTAAGTAAGGTAAGCTTTCTTTAAGCCCACGGGGGGTAGGCCGAGAAGAGGTAGTAGCTATAAATAGCTAGTAGAAGCTAGGTAGCTAGCAGCTTAAGTAGCTACTACCTAGGATGCAGGATAGCTCACGCTTCTTCAAGGAAGCTCCCCCCACCTGAGGGCAGCGGGGAGCTTCCTTGAAGAAGCGCTCACACTGATCATTTGGTTCCCAGGAAGCTTACCGAGTTAGCCATATCTTTAAGCTCTAGAATTCTGTGATGTTTGTGAAAAGTTCTCAACACCAGGTGCTGTGTCCACGGCTGATTCAAGAAGACAAACTGGCAAGCGAAGGGGAGAGCATGACACTGCTGCTCTAGAGTACACAAGTTGCTCCGGCATGGTGAGCATCTAAAATTGTACTCCACAGCTCCGGGTCAGTGATTGACACGCAGAGCCCGATGCACTTTTCTTTAAAAAGTACACCACCGTAGACCCCAAACAGTTTGTGTGAGACAAAGGATTGCAAGGCAGAGGCGGCCACAGCAGCCCAGAGCTGGGAGACAAATGTAAAGGATTGCAAGGCAGAGACGGACACAGCAGTACAGAGCGGGCGGACACATCTTAAGAAAGAATTGAGAAGCCCTAACAGTAAACCTTTTGGGGAATTATTCTTCAAGTGCGAACATGATGCTGGTCATGCTGCTCAATCAGCGGGGAGCTGACCACGTGAGGACAAGAAACAAAAGCATGAGGAGCGAAGGATGTGACATGAAATTGGTTTTTTGGCGCCTGACGTATGCCCTCCGTCCCAACTGAACAGAGAGATCGCAGCCACGCCACCGAAATCCAATCCGGTCATTCATCCAACGCTTGCCCGAAAACGAAAACAAAGCTGAGAGAGTTACACAGTGTGGCAGGAATGCAATCCCGGAGACGGTCACGCACCCTTTCAAAGGAGCAAGAACCTTTCACAGGTGAACCTGTTCCAGCGGACAGGGCAGAAAACAGCAGTGCAGGCACCAAACCTGAAAGACAAAAAGAAAGAAGTCACATGGGAAACAAATGAATAGAAATGCTACATGGCCAGCGGAAAAGGGCGGCAGCACCAGTGACAGACCCGGGAATAGAAATGCTGCATGGCCAGCGGAAAAGGGCGGATACCTGGGAAACAAATGAATAGAAATGTTGCATCGCCAGCGGAAAAGGGCGGACACCAACAGAGACAGACCTGGGAGACAACAGAATAGGAATGCTACATGGCCAACGGAAAAGGGCGGACACCACCAGTGACAGGCCTGGGAGACACATGAATAGAAATGCTGCATGGCCAACAGACAAGGGCGGACACGAGCAGTGACAGACCTGGGATGAATAGACATGCTGCATGGCCAGCGGAAAAGGGCGGACACTGGCAG